TACAGTCGACCCCCCTATAACACTGTTGATTTTTCCGTTTTATATGAATTCCATGTTATACGAGTCACTTAGATTTTACAAATACGTGTTGCCGGGCTGTGAACGGCTCACGTCTAAGTGACTCGTACAACATGGAATTCATATAAAACGGAAAAATCAACAGTGTTATAGGGGGGTCGACTGTACGTTCTAGGGTCGAAAATAAGCTTAAATTCCTCTAAAAAAACGATTTGTTTTCAAAATCTGAACCTCAAAAAAACAATTATGTGTTAGTGTCCGCGGAGGACATTTTGAGTTTTTGTAAATTCTGTGAAAAAAAATGAAGTGCTATTGAAAGTTTCCAACTATTTTTCTGTCTTTTTTTTCCTATAAAGCGAATGGTTACTGTAAAATCCGTGGATAAGACTGTTTACGTCTATTACAGTAGGGTTTACTTAAAAAATATTTACTTACTTCAATCCGTCAACAGCAGCACAAAAAAAAGGGAGAAAATGCTTTTAAAACTTAAAAGCTTTAGTGTTAATATTTTGACAGGAAATTTGAAAAGTACTTTGATTTTTAAGTCGAAAACGAAGCGGATTTTGAAAACAGTTTATACAGGATTTTAAGCTTATTTTTGACTTTATAATCTATCTATAAAATATTGGCACGGAACTTCGTTATATACTGTAGGCCTATATGAAATTAGTAGCTTATTAAATTAGTTGATATTTTGATTAAAATTTTCTGTTTGAAATTTAATGGTTATTAAGCTTCTGTGTAGTCTTCTAATTTGAGGACTTATCATATCTGTTGGGAGTGTTTTCACTTGGACACCAAGCAATGGCGCGTTATAGTTTCATGGGCGCAGAGGCAAGTTTGAGTTATAAGCCCTATCTTCAGACATTTTCTTTGGGGGATTATTTTGGGAAAAATACTTTTTTTATATATAAAAGATCGAGTTGGAGTTCTATGTTGATGAAATCCCCCTGGCAATTGCCCTTTTGTCTACAGGATAACTAACACAAGAAACCTTTTTTGGCCGATCTACTTTATTAAGCATGAATTTCGGTTATATCCTTCAGTTTAAAGTAGATGGTTTTTGGGTTAGAAGTTATTTTACAAATTTACTGAAGACTATACACTAAATATACATTTTTATTGTTTATTTTTATTGCATTATCTTTCTATTGTTTTTATCTGAGACCATTTTAAAAGATACATTAGTTCTTTGGCGGTTTTTATTTTCTAAAAGGAAATTTTTAATTTAAAAAACTCTTTTTCCCATTCAGTTGACATTTCTTAATACAGTATTTCTAACATAATTTATCATAAATTTTAAAATTATTTTAATAAAACATTAAACATTACTTTACGAGACAAATTTTATTTTGTTTCGTTAATAGAAGGATTCCAGACCAAGGAGGTTCATATCTGGACGATGAAAAACATAGAGAAAGACGTGACCCTCTTAAAGATTCTACACAAATATCAGAATCCCCTTATACTCCAATAACGAGAAGATTGCATTTCGACTCATTTGCATCTGACGAACCTGGAAATAGGTAGAAATATTATTAATTTTAATAAAGTTACATTCACAATTTTTCCAAAAATTTATATATTTTATAATTATAGATCTCAACTTAAAACTCCTTTCTCTAATTTAACGCATTTTGAAAATCAATTCGTAAGAATTAAAGATCTGATACAGACTCAAAGAAAAAAAATGAAAGAAGAGATTGACGAAATCAGAAGTCTTATATCCAGTCATTTTTCTAGCGTTGGAAGAGGGACATCAAGAAAGGTTCAATCGCTTTCTGAAGAAAGTCAGAAGAAAGTAACATTTCCATCTTCAACTCTTACAAGTTTTCATTCTTCTTTTAAGGATTCTTCAAATAGAAAAGATGCAGAGACTTATATTTCATCAGATACAGAGAGAACTGGACAAATAATCACTCCTAAACAAATAACTAAAAGAATGAATTTGCCTTCTGGAGTTTCTGCGAGAAGTAGTTCAATGAAATACGAAAAATTCACTCCACCAGCTAACACTTCTGTAGATAAAACTATAACAACAGGTTCTGTATCTTCAGCAACAATACGTACTGGATCAACAATTCCAGATAGACTTCCATCACTCGAAACAAACAAGAAAAACGATTCTGTCGTAAATTCAATGGAAATTCCTACGAGTCCTAAAATTCAATTACATAATACTTCAGGTGAAAAATCTGCAAGAATGGATTCAAAACTATCTTCAATCTCTATAAGGACATCTCCAAAATCACCAGTGAAACACGAAACGAAAAATTCTGCTGATATTGATTTCAATGATAAAGTAAAAATGTCATCCACACTTCAGTGGGACGAAGCAATAGATAAATTAGTTACTAATTATTCCAGAGGAAATTTACTTCATATTGAAATCGACTTGAGTCAATATACCACTGAAGAAATAACTGTGGACATAGTAAACGAACATTTAATGGTACAGTACGTTATCATACATTCAAGATTTTAAGATTTCATTAGAAATAACTTAATTTTTATTACAGGTAAATGCAAAAGTAAGTAAAGAACTTGATGAAAGAACTATTATAAAGCAATTTCGGTATAGTTTACGTCTTCCAAAAGGAACAGAATCCAAACATATATCACGTTATGTAACCTTAGGAGGTATTCTTATTATCAAAGGAGTTCTTCCAAATGCTTACGAAAATTAGAATACATTTTTATATTCAATTTAATATAATTAATTGTTGTAACGTTTCAATACCTTAATATTTTATTATTATTATTATTTTCGCCAAATCCTTAAGTTATTATACAGATGTTTTATAAAACATTAAATAAAATCATTTATTTTTATTGTAAATTTACCATATTTGAAGATGATATACCAAAAATTATTATTTTAACAACTTCCTGTATTTATTTTATGCAGTAAAATTATATTTAAATGCTATTGTCTTTCAAAGTAATCTCAATTTTAACGTTTTAATATGAAAAAACAGTAGGTTATTTCTTCGTAGAAACAGTAAGTGTAGAAAATTAGTTTTTCTGTAATTCACGAGATGGCAGCAGATTTTCTATAGAAATATTTAAATATATTTGATTTATTCTTGATATATATATATTTTTTGTATTATATATTATATATTTGTATCTTTTTAAGTAAATCAAATTCTACATTATGTACAAACAAATTAGTAAAAATTAACAGATTTTTTTTTTCAAGAATTTAACTAAAATTAGTCAAAATTAAATAATAGATACTGTAAAATGCATTCATACATAAAGTGACCATATTGAGAGAGTCTAAAAACGGCTAAACATAGATTATTTTTTTTATATATTGAGCTAGAAATTGGAAAAAAAAAGTATGGCGATCGGTCAAAAAATGATCCTTCTTCAAAGATTTTTACGTATTCGGACTCAGTGGATCTTGAAACGTCGAGAAATGCAAAAAAGTTGGGTTTTTTTTACCCCTGTACGTATGGACGTTAGCGTGTGCGTGGGTGAATGGCACGATTTTACTCACCAACTTTAAAGCTTAATAACTTGTGTGTTTTTTGTCTAAAATTTCTGAAATTTTGCAGGGAAGTTTGTATATTAGGGACTTTGATGTTGTTAAATTTTAGTGGTTAAAGGTCAAGTGAATGGGGAGATAGAGGGAGTCGTGTGTCATATTTCGAGTAGGATCGGACTTAATGAAGATTTTACTCGTTATTAGCGTTAATTTTTTTTTTTTTCATATAAAACCCTGAAAATTAAGCTTTTCGTCACTTTGTAATAATTAATTATATAAAAAGCTTTTAAAATAAAATTAATCAATTTATTACCCAAAATTTTATTTGAAAATGTTAAGGTATATTTAAACAGTGTCAGTATAATAAATTAATTAGGACTGAGGATCTGTCGATGTCAATAATTTATGTAATAAAAACAATCTCACACATCTATTTATTCGATTTTAATTATTTAATTCAATGATTTTAAATGATTCTCTTTGTTTCTCAATAATAAAAAAACGAATATGGAAACGATTATTTAATACTTGTTTTAAAATATAAAATAAATATATACAAATAACAATTCATGCATTCATGAAGAAGGATTCTGTATTGATAATCAAGTGTTTCAAGTATGAAATTATATTGACGATACATTGTTTTTTTAAAGAACCAAATAAAATAGTATTTCATAGGAAAATTAGTGTCAAATTTCTGTGAAATGAATAAATTAAATATTTAGATTTTTCGTAAAGAAGGACAACTAGCTGTTAGAAAAAAGTTTTCACATGAATGGAGGTGGTAGTTGACGCCATATTTACTTGTATTAAAATATGAACAAATTAGTTTTTAGGAAGCAGAGTTAATTTTTTGTGTGTAATGATATACTGTAATGGGCCCTATTATTACTTATATTGACAAATTAGAATGTGTACAATTGTACTTTATAAGTAAACTATTTCAGTTGGAATGAATAATGCCACGAGAAAAGATGAATAAATCTGTTTCGAATGGGGAATTCTGCTTACAATCTAACTGGAATGATGTAACATAAAATGATTAAAGGAAAGTAAAAGCAATAAAGGGAGGGGAAAAACTCGATAGTCTATTGTAAAGTGGTAAATACCTGGTAAAATACAGAGTAAATCCTTTCTATTTAAGTATAAGGCAGATTGAGTGTAAACTAGGTCTTAATCTATTAGAAATTTAATGTAAAATTCGTTGTTGGCTAACGAAAAAGTTATGAAAGTATCTAGGTCATATGAATATATTAAGTTATTCGAGGCAAATTATTTGAAGTGAAATCTTTTATTATTCGAGACCAAAACATAGTTTACATACAGAATTTATAATTTAAAAAAAACATTAAATGTTACTAATGTGTTAAAAATAAAAATATATATATATATTTATTTTTAAGCTGAAAAAACACTTAAATCCTTAATTATTTTTTATTTAATGGATTTAAGATTACATAGTAATAAATTATTATATGTGACGTTATATAAATATGTTATACAAATATGCATCGACGTCACTTATGACATCAATGGATGACATTTTGATATAGGCGATGTCAATGGACAATATATTATGTGTAATCGTTTATTACGTCATTTTAAAAAATGACCTTAAAGTAATTACTATATAAACAGCAAATTTTAGTATTGACGAATTAATAGAAAAGATTAATGAAGTCAAACCTCGATTTACCGCCATCAATACTTTGTTTCTGGAATTGGCACTAAATCGAATGTAGTGCTGAAGTACTGTACAGTACATTTGACAATTCATAGATAGCTATTTTATACTTAAGAGAAAGATAAGTTCATTAGCACTTTACAACGGTAGAGCTATATAGGAGGGACGTATACAGAGGTTTCAGTGTACTGTGAATTACTAAATGTACGATTTTAAGTTATAAACGAACTCATAATCGTTTGTACGTGATATTAAACGTTCAAATTCGTATATAGACTTCATTACTACATAAAATTCCTATGTAAAGTGCTTCAGTTTAGTGCTATACTCGATTTAATACCAATTTTATATGTAAACAAACGAGGACGCTAATTATTTTTTTTATTAAACTTTATAATTTAAATAAACTATAAGAATCTGAAAATTTTACAGTTTTATGTATAAAATTTACACAACTCCTACTAATAAAACTTGTAATTAAAAGAATTAATTGTCAAATTTAAATAGTTTTATAGTAGTCTACAAAAAAAAGACTTAAAGACTAGTTACATTTAATGGTTTCATTATTAACTTATATACAATAAAGGAAAAAAATAAAGATATTTTTTTCTTTAGGATAGGGTTGAAACCGCATAAATTGTTGAAATTAAGACAATTAATGATATCTTTTTTTAATCCATTCTTTTTCACAGCTGAGTGAAAGTAATGTGAAAGGCTTTAGGTAGCATTGACCTTTCTTTACAGGCCGCTAGCCACACATAAAAATTTTTTTCTTTGCCGGTTGAATCCACTAAAAAATTAAGTTTTCTTAAATAATCCCAGATATAAAGAAGAGAAATTAACAATGTTACAAATTATACTAATCAACCTTTTGTGTTTTTCAGCATTATGTAAAGGACATTCTAGCAGATACTTACATCTTTATATGAATGATACAAAGAAGATTATTAACCAATTAAACTCCATCATGAGTTTATAATAATAAAGCATAATGTAGTTTGGGATGAAAAATCAACAGGTTTTGTACATAGTAACTAACTAATTGTAGCATATGTAAGACTTTATAGGAAATAATAGTTGTTTTCCAGCAATAGATGAATTTTTTTTCTGTTTTTACTTCTCCCTGAATTGATGATGTAACTGAATGAATTTAGCATTATTTTCAAGAGAAAGATTTTATTTCCAAAATTATTTTTCTTCTACAATTGTTAATGCATTTTTAACTTTCAATTTTTGTCTTTCTACTTACTTTTTACTAATAAATCAGCCAAATTTTAAATATTGTATTTTAAATTCTTTTAGGCTTGTCACCAGAGAACTTTTACACTGTTTNAAAAAGTATGGCGATCGGTCAAAAAATGATCCTTCTTCAAAGATTTTTACGTATTCGGACTCAGTGGATCTTGAAACGTCGAGAAATGCAAAAAAGTTGGGTTTTTTTTACCCCTGTACGTATGGACGTTAGCGTGTGCGTGGGTGAATGGCACGATTTTACTCACCAACTTTAAAGCTTAATAACTTGTGTGTTTTTTGTCTAAAATTTCTGAAATTTTGCAGGGAAGTTTGTATATTAGGGACTTTGATGTTGTTAAATTTTAGTGGTTAAAGGTCAAGTGAATGGGGAGATAGAGGGAGTCGTGTGTCATATTTCGAGTAGTATCGGACTTAATGAAGATTTTACTCGTTATTAGCGTTAATTTTTTTTTTTTTCATATAAAACCCTGAAAATTAAGCTTTTCGTCACTTTGTAATAATTAATTATATAAAAAGCTTTTAAAATAAAATTAATCAATTTATTACCCAAAATTTTATTTGAAAATGTTAAGGTATATTTAAACAGTGTCAGTATAATAAATTAATTAGGACTGAGGATCTGTCGATGTCAATAATTTATGTAATAAAAACAATCTCACACATCTATTTATTCGATTTTAATTATTTAATTCAATGATTTTAAATGATTCTCTTTGTTTCTCAATAATAAAAAAACGAATATGGAAACGATTATTTAATACTTGTTTTAAAATATAAAATAAATATATACAAATAACAATTCATGCATTCATGAAGAAGGATTCTGTATTGATAATCAAGTGTTTCAAGTATGAAATTATATTGACGATACATTGTTTTTTTAAAGAACCAAATAAAATAGTATTTCATAGGAAAATTAGTGTCAAATTTCTGTGAAATGAATAAATTAAATATTTAGATTTTTCGTAAAGAAGGACAACTAGCTGTTAGAAAAAAGTTTTCACATGAATGGAGGTGGTAGTTGACGCCATATTTACTTGTATTAAAATATGAACAAATTAGTTTTTAGGAAGCAGAGTTAATTTTTTGTGTGTAATGATATACTGTAATGGGCCCTATTATTACTTATATTGACAAATTAGAATGTGTACAATTGTACTTTATAAGTAAACTATTTCAGTTGGAATGAATAATGCCACGAGAAAAGATGAATAAATCTGTTTCGAATGGGGAATTCTGCTTACAATCTAACTGGAATGATGTAACATAAAATGATTAAAGGAAAGTAAAAGCAATAAAGGGAGGGGAAAAACTCGATAGTCTATTGTAAAGTGGTAAATACCTGGTAAAATACAGAGTAAATCCTTTCTATTTAAGTATAAGGCAGATTGAGTGTAAACTAGGTCTTAATCTATTAGAAATTTAATGTAAAATTCGTTGTTGGCTAACGAAAAAGTTATGAAAGTATCTAGGTCATATGAATATATTAAGTTATTCGAGGCAAATTATTTGAAGTGAAATCTTTTATTATTCGAGACCAAAACATAGTTTACATACAGAATTTATAATTTAAAAAAAACATTAAATGTTACTAATGTGTTAAAAATAAAAATATATATATATATTTATTTTTATCTTTTTGTGTTCTGTAATGAAATTCACTTAAACAGTCATGTAATTAGTTTAGTAGTAGTGTGTACATTTGTGGTGTATATGTGCGTACACACATATACAATACAACAGCGGTTTCCAACCTTTTTTGACTTGCTTCCCCTTGACAGTCCATTTTTCTAAGTTTTATTTCCCATTTCCCATTTTCGCTATGTTTTATTTCGCGTGTTCGTCAAACNAAAACATAGTTTACATACAGAATTTATAATTTAAAAAAAACATTAAATGTTACTAATGTGTTAAAAATAAAAATATATATATATATTTATTTTTAAGCTGAAAAAACACTTAAATCCTTAATTATTTTTTATTTAATGGATTTAAGATTACATAGTAATAAATTATTATATGTGACGTTATATAAATATGTTATACAAATATGCATCGACGTCACGTATGACATCAATGGATGACATTTTGATATAGGCGATGTCAATGGACAATATATTATGTGTAATCGTTTATTACGTCATTTTAAAAAATGACCTTAAAGTAATTACTATATAAACAGCAAATTTTAGTATTGACGAATTAATAGAAAAGATTAATGAAGTCAAACCTCGATTTACCGCCATCAATACTTTGTTTCTGGAATTGGCACTAAATCGAATGTAGTGCTGAAGTACTGTACAGTACATTTGACAATTCATAGATAGCTATTTTATACTTAAGAGAAAGATAAGTTCATTAGCACTTTACAACGGTAGAGCTATATAGGAGGGACGTATACAGAGGTTTCAGTGTACTGTGAATTACTAAATGTACGATTTTAAGTTATAAACGAACTCATAATCGTTTGTACGTGATATTAAACGTTCAAATTCGTATATAGACTTCATTACTACATAAAATTCCTATGTAAAGTGCTTCAGTTTAGTGCTATACTCGATTTAATACCAATTTTATATGTAAACAAACGAGGACGCTAATTATTTTTTTTATTAAACTTTATAATTTAAATAAACTATAAGAATCTGAAAATTTTACAGTTTTATGTATAAAATTTACACAACTCCTACTAATAAAACTTGTAATTAAAAGAATTAATTGTCAAATTTAAATAGTTTTATAGTAGTCTACAAAAAAAAGACTTAAAGACTAGTTACATTTAATGGTTTCATTATTAACTTATATACAATAAAGGAAAAAAATAAAGATATTTTTTTCTTTAGGATAGGGTTGAAACCGCATAAATTGTTGAAATTAAGACAATTAATGATATCTTTTTTTAATCCATTCTTTTTCACAGCTGAGTGAAAGTAATGTGAAAGGCTTTAGGTAGCATTGACCTTTCTTTACAGGCCGCTAGCCACACATAAAAATTTTTTTCTTTGCCGGTTGAATCCACTAAAAAATTAAGTTTTCTTAAATAATCCCAGATATAAAGAAGAGAAATTAACAATGTTACAAATTATACTAATCAACCTTTTGTGTTTTTCAGCATTATGTAAAGGACATTCTAGCAGATACTTACATCTTTATATGAATGATACAAAGAAGATTATTAACCAATTAAACTCCATCATGAGTTTATAATAATAAAGCATAATGTAGTTTGGGATGAAAAATCAACAGGTTTTGTACATAGTAACTAACTAATTGTAGCATATGTAAGACTTTATAGGAAATAATAGTTGTTTTCCAGCAATAGATGAATTTTTTTTCTGTTTTTACTTCTCCCTGAATTGATGATGTAACTGAATGAATTTAGCATTATTTTCAAGAGAAAGATTCTATTTCCAAAATTATTTTTCTTCTACAATTGTTAATGCATTTTTAACTTTCAATTTTTGTCTTTCTACTTACTTTTTACTAATAAATCAGCCAAATTTTAAATATTGTATTTTAAATTCTTTTAGGCTTGTCACCAGAGAACTTTTACACTGTTTTGAATGCTTATGCAGGGGCGTAGCATCTAAAGAAAGGTCGTCTCTGCGATGGAAGATTGTCGTTTCCGGTGATTGAACATGGCGAGAGTGAAGACATTTTAGTCTTTCTACTAACTTTCATTGTTACTTGTTCTAGTAAAAAGACGTCTCAAAATGTTACTATTATGGAAACAATTCTATTCGTGATAAACATTCAGTAGAGCATCTAACCCCAAAGCTTTCATATAAAGACAAATCTCGATTTAGTGCCACCATTTCTTTGTTTCTAGAATTGGCACTAAATTAGATTTTGCAATATCTTCATATACTAATATATAAATTACATGAAAACTACTACATAAAATGTGCAAAGTTGTTCACTCTTAACGATAGTAAAATGTTAATTTTACATGTAAATATGCATAAAATAATTTATTACATACATATAAAAATACGTAAAAATACTTTGTATATATTTATGCAAATTTATTATAAATTTATCTCACGAGTAAAGTTAAAAATTAAGGAGGAGTAAAATAAATTGAAATCATAAAATATATTATTTTTTCACGCCAGTTTATTTGTTAAAAGAGTTTTGCATAATCCGTTAAAACATATTATGTCGTCTCGATGTCTTTGTTTTCAATTTGATAAACATATCGTGTAACTAAATGACAATTTAATATTTATTGAACATATTAAAAAGCTAATATCCGAAAGACAACCTTGGCCTAGATCGAAGAAAGTGAGACGAAGGTAATGAAAAATCAAGGTTAAATATTTAATTTTTAAAAAATGATTATATTAAATATATAAAACCTACAAAATAAAGGTGTGTAATAAAAACTCTTAGTTTTTATTAGATAGAAAACGTGGTTGATAATGACCTTTAAAGTATTTTTCTATTAAGATAAATTGTAGATCGAAATCAAAAACTATTAAGCTCTTGAAAGAAGCTTTATAAAAATTAATCGCGAAGAATACACCCTATTTATTTTCTAATTACGCTAGTCAGCTATTTAGTACTGTTATAAAAATCCTGTTATTTACACTACACGCGATGACCTTATTGATCTTGAACTTGTCCTAACTCTCCTTCGAAACGTCGCTGTTTTGTGTGACCTTTCTTAAGCGACCTCACCCACAAAATAGTTTCTTTGTTACTTCTGCCGCAAAACGGCAAAGATAAAATGAATCTTATCTAAAGAAAAAAATGAAATTATTCTTAGAAATTTAGTCTGGATATCAAAATCAACCTATTATTTACATTTCATAGTTAGAAGGTCACAGGTAGCGAAAAAAAATAAATAAAATATAATAAATAAATGTATAATGTAGAGAGGCATGTCCTTGGGCTAGGACCCTCACCTTGACTTGTTCACTGATATATTATTCTGCTTCTCGCAACGAATTAGAGCAAGGGATGTGGGGTTACTCCTCCTCTTGGAATGTCAAACAGGTTCATCTTTGAAGTAAACCAGTGTCATCTTAATACTTGGTGGGAGAAATATAAATAGTGGTTGAAGGACAACTGGCTTTGATGAATATCCAGTAACTCTTGAGTACAGGCGAATGGAATTGGTAAGCTATACTAAAAATATTATAGTTTTAATTTAATCTATCTATTTTTTAAGAAAATTACACGTTGACTAGAATAAACAAAAATTTATTATTAAAATTTCTCTTTTAGCAATTGATCTTGCTTCTAGCAGTTACCTGCTATGCGATTCCTCACGCTGAATATAAAGCATCGAGTAGCGATGGTTCCTACAGTTTTAATTTCGAAACAGGAGAAGAGGGAGGTAAGCACAGCAGAAAAGAAACTCGGAGTGCTGAAGGTGTAGTTGTTGGAGAGTTTTCTTACGAAGATCCAAATGGTAATTTGAGGATGATTGAATATCGCGCCGATGGAAACGGATATGTGGCGAGAGGACACGTGGGACCAGAGGGAGCACCTAGAGCAGAACTACCTCTTTACGCTTTACCTGAATATAAAGCCGATCCTGCAACCGAAACAACAACAAAAAGCTCCGAAGAACAAAAACCATCAACCGAAGAACCTGTCACTGACAAACCCAATCCCGAAGAAGATAGTAAAGATAAACAGGCTGAAAATCCAGGTTTCTTTGTTCTCGGTTTGGGTGGAAAAAGGAGATTAGAAAAACCATCAGACACCGGAAAATTAGATATTCCAGCAGAAGAGAAATCAAGCTTTTCTTATTATAATCCTTATCTCCATTATTATCCATTATCTCAAGTACCTTATGTCACTGATGTCAAGGAATTAAGCAGACCGTTTTATCTGGCACCCGTTCATCATCACGTTCCCTATGTACCTTATATTCCCAATGTTCGTAATCCTATAATTCCTGCAAAATCTTACTTTCATTCTTACCAAATTCAACACTAATTATGACAAAATCGATCCACTGGACAGTTTTTTTTTTGCAAAAGGGACTTACAGGTCAGATTGCAAAATGAAGTTGTTTTTTTTTAAAAAAAAGAAAAATAAATATGGGAATAGTGGCATCAAAATAGAGGCAAGGACTCTTTGTATATTTTATTTTAATTAATATTATGTTTTATGTCCTTAAAAACATATGTAAATTTATAAAAGAAAAAAAAAACAAAAAAATATATTGCTTTTTATTTTTGTGTAAATTTTCTATGGGATGGATTTTCTTGGGCTTTGTATAAATATTTTTGCAATAAAACTTTTAAAAAAATCATTAATTATTTTTAATTACAATTAATATATTATAACACATATTTATACAATTTCATTTTAAATATTTAAAGTATTTTTTTCTTTTTTTTTTTGTCGACAGAATAAACTAAATTCAAATTTTAAATTGCGAGTATTTGACGATGGTTATAAGTGAAATTTAATTTGAAATTTTTAATAAGATTTCTTATAAAATATTTTATTTTAAAAGGATATAAAATCCTATATATATAACAACAACGCTGTGTACTTTTAAATTAGTCACTCGGTGATTTAACATAATGGTTTTAAGCCTATAAAAAAAAAAACATGTTGAAACTGTCTCAAGGTGAACAAGTAGCTGTTGATGAGGTTTGTTTTAATATCGGATTATTAATAATTTTTTTAAAATATTTTAAGTAAAATTAATTATTTATTTATAATATCTACCCAAAAAATTATATAAAATAGAGCAAAACAATTTTATAAAATAATATTGAATGTAAACAAGTAATTATGTATAGGCTACTTGTTATGTTAAAATATATATACTTGAAAATTATAGCGTAAAATAATTAACATATAAAATTCATTTTTTAATTTATAAAAATAGAAAAAAAAGTCTTTGAATTAATAATAAAGATATTTTTAAAGTTTCCATTTCTAATTTTATCAACAAAAGTCTTTTTGTAGAACAGTAAATTATTGCATAACTTGTTCCATACGAAAATAAACTTGGTGTGACATTAAGTCAGGCAAAACGAGTTTTCATGTTGGCGTATCCCTATTTTCCCTCTTATATTCGAAAACTGTCGTTTCGGCTATAAGTTAAACACGGTTTACGTATTCCTATGTCTTTTAATACATCCAAATATATCATTCGGTAAGTGAATTGTATAAAGGTTAACAGAATGGTTTTGTTTTAACTAATTGACTAACGATTTCAGTAATTTCTACATATAATTTATTTATTTGACTAATAATTTAGGCTAAAATGAAACAAAAATAATGTCTTTATGATTTTATAAGTTATATATATATTAAAATATTTTAATTGTTTTATTTAGTTAATAACAATTAACATGTTTTTAATTTCTTGTAGTTTGAATGCCACATATGTTTATCTATGTGCTTCTATACTTTATTTTACTGAGTTTTGGCGATTTAGAATATCAGAAAATAAAATTTTCACTTCAAAATATTGATGCTGATGGGGTAATAGCTGAAAAAAACAAATGGCAGATGGTTGTAGATAGAGAATAAAGAAGTAGATACGTGGAATAATAAGATATGAGGAGAACAGATAGAAACTGTACAGGTTCTAGAGCTTTCGAAGCCGTAGAAGTAACAGCTGACAAAGCAGCTGCCATCTTCTTATCTATGGATACATCTCCTCCCATTTGAAATTGCTTCTCATCTGATATGTAATGAATTTCTCTCGTGTAACCATTGGAATTTACATAACTGTATTTTCTTGTAAAGATAAATCATCTGAATTTCTAGTCTTTTCTCTAAACTAGTCTTTCTTTTGTTTTCATTAGGCAATTTGAAACTAAAACTTTTGTAAACTTGTTCAGCGAAGGAAACAACAAACAAACGAATAAAGATATTTATCTAAAAGGAAAGAAATGATAAATGATTGAAGTTTATCTAATCCCATGTTGTTTAAATTTGATATTCTGTATATACTACCATTATATTGCATGATAAGTTTGTAATAATTTAACAATATGGCATATTGTTAAGATTTAATATTATAAAAATTTATTTAATATATCTAAAAGATAGATTATTCCAAAAAAATATTTTTAGTTAGTTTCAGAATATAAATACTTTAAGAAATTTTGAAATACTAAAAGAAACAGGATATTTATGATTTAAAGATCTTCAAAGATTTGTAGGGAAGAACATGAAGATATTAAATCCATTAAGGCATAAATTGAGTCATATAAACAATCCTCCTTAAGAGAACATTCAAATCATTTCACTTCATTATTATTTGTCCTATTTTTGATAAAATAAAATATTTTCTTGACTTGATCACTTATTCAATCGATACTGGTTAATATTTGTTTTGTAATTGAATGAATAAATGCTTTAAAAAGTACAAAATAAATATTTATTCATAATTATATAAAATCTAAGTTTAAATACAAATATATATTCTTCAGTTATATATAATTCTTATTGATAAAATAAAATAAAATAAAATTAATTTAATGCTAAATTTATGCGACAGATGGCGAAATAAACATAAATAAGTTTTAAACTTATTTAAAAATAAAAAAAAGTATACATTTTATTAACGTAAATAATAGTTTATTTCTCTCAAAAAATTCAAAATAGTTAATTTTCCCAATTAATTATTTAAATAAACTATATACACTATAAGAATATTGAATATACAGGTAATTCAAGTTAATATTAAATTTTAGGTATTTATAATTATATATATATATATATCATTTTATTAAGTTTATTAAAGACCTTGAATACTAACTTTGACCTTGGTATAAGCCTGGAAGCATTTATTGTAACGGATCGAAGAGGATATTTATATCAAGGTGTTTACCTTGAAAAATCTAAAAAATTTTACTGATGTCGATTTAAATTCATGCGTTAGAATGCATTTTCCCCTCTATTAACTATTTTATTATTATTATTATTTTTTAATCTGTAGCTGATATAGACAATCCATTTTCGTCAGTACCAGGTTATTGGAACATGTCAACATGTCCATCTTTCAATTTTTGGTAAGTTTAATAAACATACACGAGAAAAAAAAAACTAAAATTACTTAATTATTAGTTTACTTTTCGCCAATTTTGGAGATTAAATCACGTTTTGACGTCACATTTTAATACGAATTCAAAATATAATTACAGTATCAATTTGCCTTTTTAAGTACTCGAAACCATATTTGATTTATTTTTAAACTTTAAATTAATAACTAGTTTTTAATTGACTATTGTTATTAAATATAATACACTGTAAAATATAATTTCTTTTATAGATTCTGTTGGTGTGTCTGTCCTTGGTTTGTTTGCTTTCTTCGGAATCGAATGACTTCATTATCATTGGAAAATATGCCAATCGAAACTGTAGGAAAAGAGTTTTTGGCTTTGCTTCTTCATAAAATATCGTTGAATGTTTTAAATTTTTAAATAAATAATTATTTTTATATTTTGTGAAAGTCTAATTGAATAAAAAATAAAAAGAATTCTAACACTTTAGAATTTAATGGAAAAAAAAACTCCAATAAACAGAAATATTAACTTTATTCGTTTATATTTAAACAAGAAAAATATTTAAAATTTAAATATGATACATTATAAGAATATATTTATCTTTAGCACTATTTAAAATCTATTAATTATTTTAAAATGTTTTAACTTCTATAAACAGCTTAATTAAAAATAAATACCCGAACAAAATTATTAACGTTCTCTTCGTATTTATTTATTTATTTTTTATGTCTCAGAAATACAGTTACCATTCGGTAATTAATGATTGATACTGTTAGAAAATATCTTATTTACCTCTTAAATAATGATAAATGGCATTTGTAGGTTTAACAAAATTTCTATAATATACTGGAACAGGTCTGTAAGCAAGAGGGCCTGCTATACCTGATACGTAACCGACGCCATTTTGTAGAGCCTGTCCGTTCCACAGATAAGCTCCAGGAGCAGCGATTCTAGCATACATATCTCTATTTAAATGAATATTGACTCCATTTGTAGTCACTGGCAGTACATGACCGTAAGCTAAATTATTTGCCACAGGCGAGTGAAGTCCCACGGGTGATGTCACAACTATAGGTGCTGGTGAATAATTTATGCCAGTAGATAAGGGAATTCTTCTTCTGATTTCTGTAGTATATGATTTTGCTGCTGATAGTGGTACAGCAGGTGCTACAACGGAAGAAAGTGGATGTGTATTAATATTCGTTGCATGAATTGCTCTAACTGGATGTATAGGAGCTGGAGATAATGCTGTATGATGAATAGATTTTGGTGCTGCAGCTATTGGAGCTATGGGCGCTTGTATATTAACTGCTGCATTGTGCTGTACTCCAGTCCCGTAAGAAAATGATTTTAATAACGGAGCTGGTGCAGTAATGTCAACAACGGGTGCTATTGATGGATCAGAAAATGCATGGATAGATTTTGGTGCAGCTCCAACTGATACAGGTACAGATGCTGGGGCATTATGCTGAATTTCCCCAGCATAAGAAAATGATTTCACTGCGGGAATTTCAGCAGCTGCATGAATTGTTGGGACTACAGGGGCTACAGCGGGAGCTGCAGCTAAAGATTGAATAGCATGTATAGATTTTGGTGCTACTGGTACAGAAACTGGATCAGTATGATGGATTTGACTACCATAACTAAATGCATTCAAATCCGAAAGTCCATAAGGTGCATGAATTGATGTTGGTACCCGAATATTTACGATAGGTGCTGCAGCAGGTGCAGTAGCAATTGGTGTGACAGCATGAATAGATTTTGGTGCAGCTCCCACAGCTACAGGTACAGAAACTGGAGCATCGTGTTGAATTTCAGTAGCATAAGAAAATGATTTTATTGTAGGAACCTCAACAGGTGCATGGATTGATGTTGGAACGCGAATGTCTACAACTGGTGCCACAGCTGGTGCAGTAGAAAAATGTCTAACGGCATGAATAGACTTTGGTGCTGCTGAAATACTTACAGGTCTCACTGCAACAACTGGAGCATCGTGCTGAATTTCAGTAGCATAAGAAAAGGATTTTACTACGGGTGTTTCAACGGGTGAAATTGGTGCGTGAATCGATTTTGGAACAGCAGTATCAATAAAAGGAACGGCAGCAGGTATAGCAGCGTGTGTATTTACAGCATGTATAGATTTTGGTGCAACCTCGACAGGAATTGGAGCATTGTGTTGTATTTGAGTAGCATGAGAAAACGATTTAACAATATGAGGATTAACTGGTGCTGCTGCAACTGGAACTGAGACAGGTGCGTTAGGAGCAACAACGGTATGAAAAGATTTCGGTGCATCAACAGCAAAGGTTGCGGGGTTTACAACTGCTGGTGAAATTACATCTTCAACGGTATGAATAGATTTCGGTGCGTGAATTAAAACAGGTGGTGCTGCTACAGGAACATTGTGCCGTACTTCGGCAGCAAAAGCATGCGATTCAATATTGGCAGGATGCACTTGCACTGGAGTAGATACATATCCAGGATATGTTCCAAACGATGTTGATAATAACGTTATAAATATCACCTAAAATAATTTTAAAAAATAACCATTAAATTGAGATAAAACAAATTTTAAAACATAATATAAATATTAATTTATTCAAACATCATTAAAAAATAAAATCATGAAAATACTTAAATACAATTAAATATCTTCATGAAAACTTATGCCGACATAATAAAACAAAGAAACGATTTCCTAAACTTTTGAAAGTCGACAAATTAATATTTGATAAGTAATATAAACAATAATAACTTACAAAGATCTTCATGACGGTAAATTAATCAGAGAAAGTTGTAAAAGCTATTACACCTCACTTCATTTCTTATTATATATATAACATGCCGCACTGGACAATGTTATTGGGCAGTTATCCTATCTGGGTCAAGAACATGAATGTCTTCCGGTTAGTGACAGTCACTTTCTTATCGACCTTTATATCTTCATTTAACTCATTTCATTATATTATTAATTTAGAAAAGAATACACATGATAATAATTAGTATCGAAATTATAATAACTTTAGGTTAATAAACTGCTTTTCATAAAAATAATATAGGCCTAAAACCCTATATTTTCTGCAGCAAAATTATTTAACATTTCCGTAATTTATATATTATTTAATTATAATAAAATGTTCTTTTCTTTCTTTTATATAGAGTAATTCATAACTGCTTATTAACAATGTTATAGAGGATTCAAATNAAAAAACGAAAGAAATTCTTATTCTAACAAAATTAATTAACAATTAAATAATTTCCAACAACATTACATTATCTGTTACACTTCTGTTTCTATTTTTAAATGTAAATAAACGTTCTTTTAGTGTTTCGCGTACTCCATTATATCTAGGATAGGAAAAATCCCTCGAAGGTTTTTCTTATTGCTAATAGGATTTTCACTACTTTAAATTCAGGTTTATACAATATTTTAATCATTTTTATTGATATATTCTTACATTTTAATGTTGTTTAGTTAATTATTTCATTACACGAGGTAAAAATCGCACTAAGATTTGCTTCTTGATTCGCCTTTGCATGGTGTTAGACAAACTCCTAGGAGTACGCGTATGTTATCTTCGGTTGGAAAACACTGCATAAAGTTAAAACAGGAACAAATATTTCTAAATACCGTACATATTTATTATAGAATTGATGTATTTATTTATAGGGCATGCATATAAGTCTTGTTAGATTTATATAAGCTGTAAAATCGTATGAAATCTCACTAGATTAATGTTATTCTACGTCCTTTAAATCTTCCATAATGTCTTTTCGAAAGAAATAAAAATGTTAAAGAAGATAATAAATTCATTACGTCACGAATTATGACAGAAAAAACAAACAAAAGAATCGTCATAATTAATTATTTTTATATTAAAACAATAATTAAGTGTTAAAATTAATAAAATAAACCAATAAAATATAATAAAAATAATAATTAATTTTTAAAAAATTTTAATAAAATTCTCTCTTTACTGCCATTAATAAATTTATTTTATTATTTTTTTTAAGATTGAAAATCTTTAAAATTTTTAAGAATTTTAATACATTCTTATTGCAATTTAAAAGTTATACTGAAGTTTTTATGAGGTATTTTTGCCTTTCTTCCATTATAAACCTTTCTTTATACTCAAGATTTTTTGCTTTTTCTTAAAATGTCATTAGAATACGAAATTTTCTTCTTTGAAATATACTTAAACACTAGTCTTTAGAGAGAAAACCGTTGATTTGATTCCTTTTTTCTGCCCATAACTTCATTGGAATTTATTTTTCTCTAACGTTATAATTGAAACTATTCATACCTTTCCACATTCAATCACTACTCCAATCTAACACTTTGGAGAAGATAATCAATAATTCTAATATCTAAATTATAATTTTGATTGAGAGTTTTTGTGTTTCCAGATATTTTGCAATTTCTTCAATGCAATACGCCTATAGGCTACACTTAATTGCATTGAAACTACTGTAGAATATAATTTATTTGAAATTAATATGCAAAAGATATATAAAATTATCATTTAAAATTGAATATGAAAAAAAAGGTACTTATAGCTTATTATCAATTATTAATTTTATCTTTAGACTTAATCTTGAGCCTATTTATTGAGTTAATTAAATTTATGTATAACATAAAAATTAAAAAAATAATAATAATACAATATACATTGTATTAATTGACTAGAAGCATATAGATTTTCATTGATTTTAATTAGCTTTTACACACAAAAATTGTTATATTTAATGTATTTATTCAATAAAAAATTCGAATTAATTGCTAAAAATAAATTATATTCGGTTTTAATATACGAATAAACGTTTATAAATAAAAATTTCGACAAATTCAATTAAACAGTTACTTAAATGTTTAATTTAAAGAATTAATACATATAAAATAATATTTAAATATATTTATATGAAAGTTTATTAAAGCTTAAAACCATACAACAGTGAATTCCCTTAGCATTACAAAAAGTTTTCCAATGCGTAATTAAAACGTCAACTAATTAATTCAGTTTTAACCAAGTTAAAAAACAAAAACAAGATGTATAATTATTATTCATCTTTCTTTTCTTGTTTCTCGTCATCAGTTTTCTTTCCAAGGGAAACCGGTGAATAAATTCGTGGTACTAAAGGTTGCACCATAATCGATGGAGGAATCAAAGGATGTACTGCATGCATAAAAGGTGCTGGTGGCAATAAATATTTAAAGGCTGAATGCTGCCATTCTGATTTAGCAACTCGAGCATAAGATGGTATTTTGACTTGCATCACGGGTAAAACACCCGCAGCACAAAATCCAATCATCAACATAAAAACAATCTAAATAATAAATAAAATAAATGGTTTAAATTATAAATTTTCCAACAATTTATGTAAAGATAAAGTCGCAGGAAACTTACCAACTTATTCATTTTGAATCTCTTATGGTATCGAGTAGAAACATCCTCTATTTATACAGATCTTCAGTAAAATACGTTGCAAAACTATCTTTTTTTTTAAAATTAAAAACGTCAGAATCAATTAATATATAAGAAAATATCTAGTTTCTATTATCAATAATTTTAAAAAAATATATATATGAGAAACAAAACTAGGTCAATCGAATGCATCTTTAAATGCATCGAATTATCAGGTTTGAAAACGAATTCTGCATTAAATTCGAGAAGAAAAAGAAACATTTTTTTTTTAATATAAAAATTATTTTATTTAAATTAAAATTATACTTAATTTAATTTTAGAAACATAATAACAGAGTAAACATTTTTTGAATTTAAAATGATTAAAAAAAACGAAAGAAATTCTTATTCTAACAAAATTAATTAACAATTAAATAATTTCCAACAACATTACATTATCTGTTACACTTCTGTTTCTATTTTTAAATGTAAATAAACGTTCTTTTAGTGTTTCGCGTACTCCATTATATCTAGGATAGGAAAAATCCCTCGAAGGTTTTTCTTATTGCTAATAGGATTTTCACTACTTTAAATTCAGGTTTATACAATATTTTAATCATTTTTATTGATATATTCTTACATTTTAATGTTGTTTAGTTAATTATTTCATTACACGAGGTAAAAATCGCACTAAGATTTGCTTCTTGATTCGCCTTTGCATGGTGTTAGACAAACTCCTAGGAGTACGCGTATGTTATCTTCGGTTGGAAAACACTGCATAAAGTTAAAACAGGAACAAATATTTCTAAATACCGTACATATTTATTATAGAATTGATGTATTTATTTATAGGGCATGCATATAAGTCTTGTTAGATTTATATAAGCTGTAAAATCGTATGAAATCTCACTAGATTAATGTTATTCTACGTCCTTTAAATCTTCCATAATGTCTTTTCGAAAGAAATAAAAATGTTAAAGAAGATAATAAATTCATTACGTCACGAATTATGACAGAAAAAACAAACAAAAGAATCGTCATAATTAATTATTTTTATATTAAAACAATAATTAAGTGTTAAAATTAATAAAATAAACCAATAAAATATAATAAAAATAATAATTAATTTTTAAAAAATTTTAATAAAATTCTCTCTTTACTGCCATCTGTCGTTTAAAAATGCCACCATAACTATTTTTTTACAATAATGGAAACACATAAAATAGAAGAAAACTCACGACAAAATATAAAATTTAATAGTAATTAAATCATTTAATTAAAAATAATTTTTATAATATTGCCGAGATATAAATATATTTTTAAAAATAAAATAAAATTAATAAAACGTTCTAACATGTGAATAATTGTAGGTGTGACACGAGAAATTATATATGGCGAAGATCATGCGGAAGTAAATAAAATCAGTTGTTTGTCACATCAAATGACAGATATGAAAATTGTGGTGGATCTTCCTCGANAACAAGAAAAACGATTCTGTCGTAAATTCAATGGAAATTCCTACGAGTCCTAAAATTCAATTACATAATACTTCAGGTGAAAAATCTGCAAGAATGGATTCAAAACTATCTTCAATCTCTATAAGGACATCTCCAAAATCACCAGTGAAACACGAAACGAAAAATTCTGCTGATATTGATTTCAATGATAAAGTAAAAATGTCATCCACACTTCAGTGGGACGAAGCAATAGATAAATTAGTTACTAATTATTCCAGAGGAAATTTACTTCATATTGAAATCGACTTGAGTCAATATACCACTGAAGAAATAACTGTGGACATAGTAAACGAACATTTAATGGTACAGTACGTTATCATACATTCAAGATTTTAAGATTTCATTAGAAATAACTTAATTTTTATTACAGGTAAATGCAAAAGTAAGTAAAGAACTTGATGAAAGAACTATTATAAAGCAATTTCGGTATAGTTTACGTCTTCCAAAAGGAACAGAATCCAAACATATATCACGTTATGTAACCTTAGGAGGTATTCTTATTATCAAAGGAGTTCTTCCAAATGCTTACGAAAATTAGAATACATTTTTATATTCAATTTAATATAATTAATTGTTGTAACGTTTCAATACCTTAATATTTTATTATTATTATTATTTTCGCCAAATCCTTAAGTTATTATACAGATGTTTTATAAAACATTAAATAAAATCATTTATTTTTATTGTAAATTTACCATATTTGAAGATGATATACCAAAAATTATTATTTTAACAACTTCCTGTATTTATTTTATGCAGTAAAATTATATTTAAATGCTATTGTCTTTCAAAGTAATCTCAATTTTAACGTTTTAATATGAAAAAACAGTAGGTTATTTCTTCGTAGAAACAGTAAGTGTAGAAAATTAGTTTTTCTGTAATTCACGAGATGGCAGCAGATTTTCTATAGAAATATTTAAATATATTTATATGAAAGTTTATTAAAGCTTAAAACCATACAACAGTGAATTCCCTTAGCATTACAAAAAGTTTTCCAATGCGTAATTAAAACGTCAACTAATTAATTCAGTTTTAACCAAGTTAAAAAACAAAAACAAGATGTATAATTATTATTCATCTTTCTTTTCTTGTTTCTCGTCATCAGTTTTCTTTCCAAGGGAAACCGGTGAATAAATTCGTGGTACTAAAGGTTGCACCATAATCGATGGAGGAATCAAAGGATGTACTGCATGCATAAAAGGTGCTGGTGGCAATAAATATTTAAAGGCTGAATGCTGCCATTCTGATTTAGCAACTCGAGCATAAGATGGTATTTTGACTTGCATCACGGGTAAAACACCCGCAGCACAAAATCCAATCATCAACATAAAAACAATCTAAATAATAAATAAAATAAATGGTTTAAATTATAAATTTTCCAACAATTTATGTAAAGATAAAGTCGCAGGAAACTTACCAACTTATTCATTTTGAATCTCTTATGGTATCGAGTAGAAACATCCTCTATTTATACAGATCTTCAGTAAAATACGTTGCAAAACTATCTTTTTTTTTAAAATTAAAAACGTCAGAATCAATTAATATATAAGAAAATATCTAGTTTCTATTATCAATAATTTTAAAAAAATATATATATGAGAAACAAAACTAGGTCAATCGAATGCATCTTTAAATGCATCGAATTATCAGGTTTGAAAACGAATTCTGCATTAAATTCGAGAAGAAAAAGAAACATTTTTTTTTTAATATAAAAATTATTTTATTTAAATTAAAATTATACTTAATTTAATTTTAGAAACATAATAACAGAGTAAACATTTTTTGAATTTAAAATGATTAAAAAAAACGAAAGAAATTCTTATTCTAACAAAATTAATTAACAATTAAATAATTTCCAACAACATTACATTATCTGTTACACTTCTGTTTCTATTTTTAAATGTAAATAAACGTTCTTTTAGTGTTTCGCGTACTCCATTATATCTAGGATAGGAAAAATCCCTCGAAGGTTTTTCTTATTGCTAATAGGATTTTCACTACTTTAAATTCAGGTTTATACAATATTTTAATCATTTTTATTGATATATTCTTACATTTTAATGTTGTTTAGTTAATTATTTCATTACACGAGGTAAAAATCGCACTAAGATTTGCTTCTTGATTCGCCTTTGCATGGTGTTAGACAAACTCCTAGGAGTACGCGTATGTTATCTTCGGTTGGAAAACACTGCATAAAGTTAAAACAGGAACAAATATTTCTAAATACCGTACATATTTATTATAGAATTGATGTATTTATTTATAGGGCATGCATATAAGTCTTGTTAGATTTATATAAGCTGTAAAATCGTATGAAATCTCACTAGATTAATGTTATTCTACGTCCTTTAAATCTTCCATAATGTCTTTTCGAAAGAAATAAAAATGTTAAAGAAGATAATAAATTCATTACGTCACGAATTATGACAGAAAAAACAAACAAAAGAATCGTCATAATTAATTATTTTTATATTAAAACAATAATTAAGTGTTAAAATTAATAAAATAAACCAATAAAATATAATAAAAATAATAATTAATTTTTAAAAAATTTTAATAAAATTCTCTCTTTACTGCCATCTGTCGTTTAAAAATGCCACCATAACTATTTTTTTACAATAATGGAAACACATAAAATAGAAGAAAACTCACGACAAAATATAAAATTTAATAGTAATTAAATCATTTAATTAAAAATAATTTTTATAATATTGCCGAGATATAAATATATTTTTAAAAATAAAATAAAATTAATAAAACGTTCTAACATGTGAATAATTGTAGGTGTGACACGAGAAATTATATATGGCGAAGATCATGCGGAAGTAAATAAAATCAGTTGTTTGTCACATCAAATGACAGATATGAAAATTGTGGTGGATCTTCCTCGACATCTCCACCCTTTGTACTTGACCCACATTGTTTTAAGTCCTTGAATGTGAAACTGAACCAGGTAACAAATAATATGCTTGATGACCATTCGTAGGATACTGACCACCTATAAAAACGTCTTCTCCTTACTAAAATTTACTCAGATTAATAAAGAAATTTGTTGTCAATATGTACAAACTCGTAAGTACCTTGTATTAATAATATAGTTTTATATAAATATACTTTGAAAGAATTTTAAAAATATATTTTTATGTCTTCATAAATTAAAATTTAAAGATTTTTTTTTTAATATTATTCCTTACTAATTATCTTTCAATTTGATAATTTATATGTGGATAAACAGTAAAAATTTTATATTAATTATAATATTTGGAATGTTTTATTTACGTATATATTTTACTTTCATTCTAAAATTATCTTTACAACAATTTAAAAGAAAACAGACATAAATTTATGAACAAATATAATATTTTAGAATATATTTTTATAAAGAATAAAATGATATTTGTTATTCCTTTAGGTTGTGTTTAGCTTGTTGGTTGTAGCCTGTACTGCAGCCGTTATTATTCCATCGTTGCATTACATCCCATCGAGTGCAAGAGTGACCAACATAGAATGGAAAGATAAACCAGTTAAATTCATTGTCCCTTCGGTTCCTTTAAGTCTTCATCAACCATTTGCTTGGCCACCATACTACTATCCATTCGTCAATCCATTTACTGTGCTGAAAGAAATCGAGAAACCAGAAAAGAAGGATGCAGAAAAGAAAGAAGAAGAGAAAAAGGAATAACGATCCAATAAAACTCCGATTACAATTATATCAATATGATGTCAAGTTTATAAATTTCAAAATTGTATACCGTAAATTAATATATAAATAAATAAAATTTGATTTTTTTCATTCGAATTTGGTTTTATAAATCATTATTATTATTATTATTATTATTATTACGCTAAACGCCATTTTTTTTATCAATTTATGCCGAAATTAATATCCCGAAGTAGGTTTATTTATAAGTTCATAAATATTTAATATATAGAATTAATTCTAAATTAAAAAATAGCAGTTAAATCTATAAAATTAATCAGAGGAATAGAATGATGCATTTGGGTGGAGTCGATATTTTGACAATAAGTGATGACATTAATATAAATTAGTTTATCAGCTTTGTTTAAAATATGAATCATCGATAGGTGTGCCAATTTTTATACTTTCAGCCTTGAGCAAAATATCAATCATTCTTCAAATAATTAGAAAATATTATAAAGTAAAATGTAATTTTCTTAAATTCGATTAGAGTTATTATTAAAAATAACAATTTAAAATTGTATTAGAATCAATCGGAGAGATAAGGTAGCATTCTGTTAAACCTCTGAAAAAAGTTCATTGCTCGGAGATGTCCGTTATTTACAGGTTATTTTTTTAATACATTTTAGTGACTACAGTTTGAAGGTTGGACTGTATTATGCAAATTGATGTATGTAAAACGTGTAAAAAATTATTCCGAATTTTTTAAGTCTCAATAGATGGGTGGTGTTAACGAATGCTAAACTTCTTTTTGGGGGGTTAATTCATCAAAATATTTACGAAATTCTAAAGAATTTGACGCCTGACAATTCAGATTTAGATAAAATAAGAATCAATTTAAATAAATTTATAAGAAAACGTTAAATTCTATTAAAATGTAGATTAGAAAATAACATTAAAAAGTTCAAAAGGTTAGACCACCTTTAAAATGTGGTTTGTCACATTAATAACAACAAATTTCTGTTTGATAATTATTAAAAGATATTCATTTCACATTATCTCTTGATTATTTACCAAAAAATATATAGAATAATTATTTTTAAGCTGTTCTGTTGGCAATTTAATAATAATAATAATATCAAAGCAATTTGCAAGTTATTTTTTTTCCATTTAGATTTTCCTTAGACTTTGAAATTTATAATTAAGATTTATATACGAACTGAAAATCAAAATGGCAACTGGAAAACGAATGCCTCAATGAAAACGATTGAGTTAATTTAATATATAAAAAGAAATTAATCATAAAGGATGAGTAATTTAGAGAAGATACGATGCGAAGGACAATTAGATTTGCCAGAAACCTGTTAAAAAGTAGCACCTGATTACAAGAGCTGACATGTCCAACAAGCTTCTGTTGGACACGTCATATAAAATGAAACTATAACAAATTTTTTATAAATATTTCTGCTAGTGTTAAGAAGTTATAAAATATGTGTATGTGAACATATCAAATTTTACAATTAATATAGGAATAATTTCCTATATAAATATGTAAATTACCTTAAAAAGACAGTTTATTTTTAATTAAACTACAGCTAAGTATAATTCGTCTTTAAAATTCATAAGCTAACTTTCAAGGGTCTTGATGATAGCATATGATAAAAAATTCGACGAGTTGCTTAACTTTTCCGGCAACATTTCGTGGCGCCATCTGTTATCATATTTTATTTTATTTTTTAAAAACTATTATAAAATGGTAAAAACCTTAATTTTGAGGGTGGGGTAGGTTTTATAAAAAGTTATAAATGCTAATAACGAGTAAAATCATCATTAAGTCCCAATGGAGAGACACACGACCCCACTATCTCCCCACCTCCTCGACTTTTAATCACCAAATTTTAATAGCATCAATTTCCCTAATACATTTATCTCCCTACAGAATTTCAGAAATTTTTGGCAAAAATTTCCGGGGTTATTAAGCTTCAAACAGGATGAAAAAAATCGCCCCACACAGTGGGGGAAATGTATAAGTCTGATTTAAAAACAATGATATAAAAATTAATTAAATAAGTAATAATTATTTTAAAATACTTACTCTAGGATAGAATTAAAAGATTATTATTTTAAAATGTATCTATTCTTGACCGTATATTCAATATGCTATTCATATAGTTGCTTTATATATTCTGTTATATATTTTATAGGTTTATCGGGGCAGTTCTTTGCTGCCCTCTAGATATTATCTGTATTAATTATTAAATAAATAATGTATATATATATATATACATGAGTAGGGATAAAACTGTTTTCTTAAAATTCCCTACTCTTGTAATCCATTGTACTCAATCACACTGAAAAGTTTATATTACTTAACTATAAACTTCATTATGATTAAGCTTTTATACAAACAGTAGAAAATAAACCGAAAATTATTTATAATAAAGGTTTTTTTTCGTATATCAAATATTATTAAACGTTGCAAATTAAAATAATATTGATACATCTAGTCAGAATTTCCTTTTTTGGCCTTGCTAATCAAGGCCAATCAGTATAATTCTTCCCTCCTACAACTTTCACTAACCTACTCAATTTAACCAATTATCTAACAAATAAATGTATTTTCACTTTTAAAAAAATATTAGTAAATATATACATATATAATTTTTGCAAAATTCGAATAAAGAAAATGTGCATTTCGAAACAATGTGGTCATCACAAAAATTGATCTTGACCTACATAAACGAATGAAAGTAAATCAACTTTCAAGGGCACTGTCTCATTTATAAAATTTTACCTTCGGGCTAATATTTTTTAACAAGTTATATAAGGCTGGGAACAAAGATTTATGTGTATTAAGTCTCCAGGCTTTTGGGAGTCGAGTTCAAAATGAAAGCTCTGGTGAGTAATTAAGATCTATAATACCTATCATTTCATTTCATATGCTTAATGATAATTTTCGTAATTATAGATTTTCCTTGCACTTTTGGCCGCTTGTTCTGCCACTTTTCTCTACCCGTACTATCATTACACTTATGGTCTACCAGCAAGTTACGTTTCTAAGTACGAGGTGAAATATCCTTATTACGGATACGCCGTTCCTTCTACATATCTGACTTATCCACATTACTATCGTCGTTATTATTATCCAGGATACGTCTATCTGACCGAAAAGAAACCCGAAAAACAAGATAAAGACAAATCTGATTAAGGATACTTTTTCTTCAATGTACCTATTGTACTTTTAAATTTACATTTTATATTCTTACTTATGGGATCCCTGTAATGTACTTTTATGCCTTTTAATACTGGATTTATCAGTTTTTAAATAAATTTTTATAATTAAAAGTTACAATTGATCTTATTTTGAAGTGTTCTAATGCACTCTGAAAGTAGATTTCGCGTTTAAACAGAAATGTTTTGCAAGGAAAACTGATGTAAAGTATAGAATAAGTCTGTATTATTTTTTCGTATTATCTTTCTTTTATGTATTTGTACGGCTCTAAATTTAAAAAGTAGGAAAAATATATAAAGAAAATAAGAATTATATTGTAAAATTCAATTTCAAATTCGTTCCTGTTATCAAATACCACTGAAAAACTAGAAGTTGATCCCAGATTGGCATATGAGCCATAGGCTGATCACGTGGATTTTCCGGATTTTTTTTTTACCTAAATATGACCAATTTTCTATAGAAAGTCTTTCCGGGTGGCACCCCTCTTTGGAAGATCGCTCACGTGTTGCGTTGATTTATCCAATCGAGCCAAATATTGTTTGATTTTAAATGAATAGACTTTTATTCAATTAATGCAAAAAAGTTTTAAATGTAACCCAGTTAATTTATTTCTGAGCCACTCTATATACATGTATTTATGTGTGTGTGTATGTGCTAATGAAGATTTTTAAATGTCTTTCAATATGATAATCTAAATGAAAACAAATTTATTTCTATTTTATTAATACTTAATTATCTTTGCATTATGTAGCTTTTTAAACTAGTTTTTTCATAAAATAATTAGATATAGATTCAATAATAGTCGAGAATTTATTAAATTTTTCTACAGATGATGGATGCATTTTAACCTCAAATATAAAATATATTAAATAATTGAATTTCTTAGTTTAATCAATGTCAATTATATAAAAATCGTTACCTTCAAATTATTACATAAATTACGTGTAAGACTATGTACTAAACAAAGCAAGATGATAATTTATTCGTTTTTGAACGATTTAACCTTGATTTCTTAATCATTATTTACCTTTATTTTCGTTTATTTCTCTTTTAATTTCTTATTTCTCGGTTATATTATAAATATAATACAATATTAAAAGCTTAATATTATAAATATATTTAATAATTAATGTACAAATTATAAAAAATACAATACATTTTCACTGAAATAAATTTATGTTAATATAAGTATTATAGTAAAAATTGTATAACTCCAATTTAATGCAATATTAAATATAATTTAAAAATTTTATTGAATAAGAAGATGGTATAAAATATTAAATAATTTTTCCTCTTCTCTATTGGCAAAATATAAAAGGAATATCGTGATGCTCAAGGACAACAACGAAACCTTGATAGGTTTTGTATGCTGAATGATAATACAGAGGGTGGAGTCAATCATTTTTTCACGGTTAAAAAATAACCTTCGAATATATTAGTTACAGGTACTATTGCCATTTCTGTATTTATATCAATTTGATTTTTCTATAATTAAAAATTGCTGTTTGAAATATTTCTGTTCTATCCCATTTCCTTATAAATTATGTCTCTAACAAGCTGAGACTCGTGTGAATTTTTGCGATTATTACTCAGTTTATAGGATATTAATTCTGTTATAATTAATTATACGCAAATAATTATTATTGTGTTGATTAATACAGTGAAATTTCCAACAATAATCACCTCTAAACGGCAGCCATTTTCTCAACAAGTGTCTTTAATGTATATAAAATAGCCTCTAAACAACTTCCATTTTTTATGTTTCCGTCAATGGTAATTTTAAATTTGGTTGAATTATAAGTCAGGTAAAATTTAAATAAATAAACATAAATTATTTAAGTAATTATTACAAAAATATGATTTGAGAAAAACGTGTTA